GGCTCAGCAGCAGCTAAGAAAACAAATGGTGAGTAAAAGATAAAGAACTGAGGTGGAGCTGGCTAGATGCTACCTTGAGAAAGTAAGAGTTGCATTGCATTTGTTTATGAGGACGCTGTCAACAGTATGATCTAGTTTGGTTTTCTAAAAGCAATTTTTTAATTCTCTTTACATACAGGCCACAAGAAATTTCTTTGCCTAAACTAAGCAAAATCAGTGACTGATTAATAAAACTTTTACGTTCTTAGATCAGATATCAAAAAAGGATGATTTATCTACCTCCACGAAAACAACTGGGCCAATTGTAGTTGAATAGCAGTTATAACATTAAATGTTCCTACAAGAATGAATTAATAAGATTGTATAAACAGCACAATGCCAATTGCTTCTGGGCCACTACTTTAAAGATGTATTTTATTAATCTTCAATGTAGCAAGAAAATAGCAGGTTTGTGTCCAAAATATGGTTCACATTCATCTCATTATAAAAAGAATTGGTCCTTTTCTGAGTGTCCCGCTGAAATCCTTAAATTTCTTTAACAAATACAAAATTTCCAGCATTTTAAGTGATGATTATTAAAACTCTTTATAATTGCAATTATTTATCGGAATTCTAGCCAACATCTATGATTTCCTCTAAAGACAGTACAAGCAGATCTTATAAGAAGCCTCTGCTAGCATACGGATAACAACAACGGAGGATTAATCATTTTTGCTATAGCAACCACTGCACTGCAATTACCATAGTGACATGAGAAGAATAGAAAAAGTAATAATGAAGAGCTTGTACTTGTTGGGAGCAGTGTGTCAGCCAAATAAGTGCAGAATTCTCTAATGCCCAACTCTGCTCACCTTAATCAACTGAAATGCCATTAGTAAAAAATATGTCACGACACATTTCTGATTTATTTTTAAGAGGGCAATACAAATTTATCAGTTGTTCACTGTCCTTTGGTCAGATTAACGTACCAATCATTGCTATCATGTAAGAGAGGGGCGTGCTACTTATTTTAGAGGTTCCAGTTTACACTACATACATAGATCTACTACATTACCATAAATATACTGATTATATAAACACCTGGTTTTTGCATATTCTCCCATTAGAATATGCACACGTATGTATATACAGAAACGTAGCAGACCTCAGAGACATATATAGATGTACACATAGATTTGTATATCTTTTTAATGGGAAAAATAATAATCTTTATTTGAATACTTCAAGAACACTTGGTGCTAAGATTACGCTAACATCTGTGACAGTTTCTCATGAGTCACCTAATTGTTTTTTTTTTTTCCAGCTCCACTTATTTAAATAATTTCTACTTCATAGATGTTCAAACTCCATAGTGTACGGAAGGAAACCTTACCCAAATTAGTTGCCTTTGGAGGTTCTCAGTCGGGACCTTATTCAAAGCTCCCCCCTTTTTTCAAGTGACAGGTAAATACTTACAGCTGGAAAAAGTACTTCAAATAAAACTTTTGAAAGTGGGAGATAATGTTAGACAAAGTTCTCTTTTGACAGAAAACATGTTAAGATGTAGGTGTGATCAATAAATCAGAATCTTGGACTGCAGAAGTGCAACAATAGTAAGGTGGGTGTAAATGAGAAGGCGGCAGCACAAGTGACGTACTCCCAAGCTCACGTCTGCACCTGACATTGTTCCAGAGTCGAATATGCATGAGGTTAAGTAAATAAGTGGCAGAGAGTGAAAGCACAGAGAAGTATGGAATCTTTTGAGACCTTTAACAAATGGCAAGGCCGGCACATGAGCTATGAGATACAGAAAATATCAAGAAAGGGTTAGAAAATAGAGGCAGGCAACACAGAAATAAGAATGCAACAGGCTTGTGACTGTATATTGAACATGTTTCTAGTCACAGCAGCTGTATCCCAGTGCCAACAGTAAAGATGCTTGCAGCATGCATAGAGCAGAGCGAGCACACTGTGGTACGCTGTGCTTAGCGTTATCACCCAGTTTGGCAAAAGCTACTTAGGCAGAAGGTAAAGCAACCTTCTAATGCATCTCATTTTAGATTTTCATTGTGCTATTTTGATTCGTTGTGCAATGAAACCTCTTTCAGGGCCCATTACAGATAGCCAAACGCCTATTTCAAACTGCAAACCATCATACCTTAACTTCCTTTGACTTATGACAATCATTATTTCATCATTTTTGCAACTGAAAACTGAAAAAAGGAAATGTTCAAGTCTGACAAACCATTTCTGGTAAGGCATTTGCTTTAACTTCAGATAACTACAAGCAAAATCTGTATGATAAATGCCTACCTTTTGACGCATCTAAACATAGGCAGACATAGCACAGTGGATAAGTGTAGTTACTCTGATACAGGGTTATTCTAGTAATGTGATATTTTGCCTCTTTATTGTTAGACTGGTGCAGAACAAAAAATACTGGAATGAAAACGAATGTGAGCAGAACTCAACTAAGATTCTCTTTTGCATGAGAAGTATTTTCCTCCTACCAATTACTGTATAGCCACTCTTACATAGAACTATTTTGCTGTAGGTAGGATTTTTTGATGGTGGAGGGGTATTATTCAACTTCCTTCAGACTGCATTTCATAAAGAACATGGAATTTAGAATTATATCCTTTCACTACTCATACACATTGTTTTACTACCATATTCACTTAGAAATTCTCTAAAACTTTGTTCAATGAGAAAATAACTATTTGTTGTCTTAATTACTTTAAATTAATGCTGCGAAGATGAAAAAAATTGATGCACTACTATGACTATTAAAGTCATAATAGTACTCAAATAGTAAATATGAAATCATAGTTATAAGTATTTCTGTAGTTGTCAGAATAAACTTTGTTCCTCTGTCAAAACACATACACACATTTATACCACTTTTTTCACTTGCTTAAGAAAACTAATGGGCAGAAAGACCATTAAATCATTTCCCATCCTTTACCCTGGATGAACTTGAGCGATCTGGAATGAAGATAAAGATGATAGCGTGTACATAGCTGTTCAGGAAGAAGAAACAAAACCCTCTTACTGCAAGATCTGTGCTGGGTGTTTTCTCAGAGATGAAATAGCTAAGATCTTTCAGAATAACCAGTTCCAAAAAGTCAGCTTCCAAAAAGCCAGCATCTCCTCCCATAGACAATACTGACGATTCCTTGCCTTTCTATCCACTTTGCCATATATGCTGTCCCTCTATATTTATTTGCATGCATTTAAGTCCCTCTATGCATTTTCTTCCATTGTATTCATCCTTACTAGAAAGATTGCTCCACTATTGCCTCACACTAGTGCTTTGCCTATGAATTTGATGATAGTTAGCAGAGCAGGGTATTAAACAACTGGTGATGGAACTCCAAACCAGCAGCACCCGACGGCTAAGCTAGCTATACTGGCCATTGTCTTTCATAACCTTGGCTGTACCAAAATCACACTGTGTACTGCACTGCTATATCACTGTGCATTCAATTTATTCACATTTTAAAAATTTTAACTTTAACATTTGAACAGTTCCACTTCTCTTTGCAGAGATACCCCAAGGTTTACTAAAATTCCATTAATTATGATAAATTTCTAGAATTATAATATATAATTTGGGCTCATTAGCTACCTAACAGAGATAAAATTATCCTGCACAAAGATTGCTTTCCACATTGCCACTGTTAAAAAAAATAAATATCAGATTTTTGCTTTAGTACCTATTAAGACACATTATTCAGAACACCAGCTTGGAAAATGGTTAAAACTCCAACATATTTAAATGTTTTTTTAACTGCAAAACCCATAGTGTTCTGTTCTTTCCTTCAGTTATTATCTACATGAGTGTTTATATTTTGTAGATAAAGATTTTGTAAAGATTTTACAAAAACTTTTACAAAGATTTTAGAAAATGTGTTAAATACTTCACAGATGAACCTAGAGCATTGTTCAGCTTCTACCTTTTTTCATTTACTACAGATCTGTAAACCCTTCCATAGTTGCTAGATAAGGATCTAAGGACAATTAACTATCCAGCAGAGGTGTCTTCCAGCTACATGTCGGTAAACAGCTTTGCTAGAATTCTTAAGAATACTTCTAAGTGGCAGGATAGAGCAAGAGAATTGGACTCTGGGTCTAACACAGAGTCTGACTTTAAATTAAAAAAAATTGTCATTTTCTTTAAAACAGATTTTAAACAAAAATTATGCAACGAGGCTACCGTTGATAACATTTAAAGACACTCTCAGTCTCACAATTAACAAGCATGTTGTCTAAATATAGTAAATTAGTTCTTTAAGATGGTATTTATATTCAATAGTGTCAGCAGAACCAGCACTTTCCCTTGGGTTGCAAAATTCTTATTTTGGTGCACAGAAAAAAGTATTTTTGGACTACAAACCCAATGTGTCCTGTTCTCCATAACATGACACACACACTGATAAGCCACAATTGACTGAAAAAGTACCTTCTAATAGAAAAATACATTTACATGTAATGTACATTTTTCTTTTGTCCAAAAGCCTTCCAGAATTTTCAATTACAACCATTAAGATTTTACCATGTTTCATGAATCTTTACTCAAGGAATTTTAGTTCATTCACATTTTGGCTTTATTAGTTTGTAGAAGTGCAGAATTTATGAACACTTACTCAAGTAATACCTTGTGAACGAGATTAGGGGAAAAAACCCAAATCATGACAAAAAACCCCATGTGTGATAAGAATAAGTCTGGCGTTGTATCATGCCTCAAAGCAACAGTCCTTAAGAGTGGCACTCAAAAGTAGATATATGTGATGCAGAATGCACTGGGATAGCCAAAGTTGAATTTAGTTGAATTTATTAATAATTACTCCCATATATTTCAAGATTTACAGTAAGACAGTTATAACACCTTAAAGAAAAAAAATTAAAAAACCCCCAACTTTTAGAGCTAAAGAACTTGATTTGTTCTTTGATTTACAGTAGCTAACCAAAATATGAAAAAGAAACACACACTCAGGATAGTTTAGAAGAGTAAAACTCACCAAAATCTGCAAACACGGACTGCCCAACAACTTTGGCACCACTAGGAGTTTTCTTACTTTTTTCAGTTTTAGAGAAGTTCCCATCCTATCAAACAGGACAAAGATGGTGGAAAAAATGAATTGCAGATTAAGTGATAAGATTTCACTTTTGAACCAAAGAAAATACACATCAGTAAAAAAGCATTTCAGTAGATAACAAAGAGACATCTCAGCTATGGAAAAAAATGCACTCTGTGAAAATTGTGACTGAGTTTTTGCATTTCTAATCCTTCATGGAATCTTACAGAAATCCAGTAATAGTAATATCCAGACACAATTGTCCATGCATTTTGCTGTGTTATCAGGAAGAGATGAGTTATTTCAGCAACATAATCTAAATCATAATTAAGTGATTATGAATACTAATGTGCATTTCTGCATATTGACATGTGATTTTATAGAGATATGTAATATAAACACACCTGCACACCTGTTAAAAATAGCTTCTGATTTTCCTTCTAATTAGGAAATAACTTGATTTTACATTAGGTCTGGTTTAGAATAAGCCCATTTACAACATTAAGTTTGTGTAGCCAAGTAAAGTGACCTAAGGCCCACTTTTCTAGTTGTTGCAATCAGCTCATATAAAGTGCTATGCACACAGCCATATGTAGAGCCACTGAGACAAATGATAGCATTTTGTGGATTATGTATAGTTAAGTATCCATATTGCTTACTCATGTCATATTCAGTTTGTAGACTTCAATGCTGTTGAAGATGCAACTCTGGAGACCGTTAGTATGTGGATGTTTGATAATGTATCTTTAGCTTGACGTATAATTTATAATAACTCAGATGAGAAAATAAAATTGATGCAAATAATTTCCATGCAGAAAAGAAGACTAGGCCCTCTGCTTGGCTGGCCAGAAAAGCATATCTCATATAGGTAAATATTTTAAAAGCATTTTATGGTGCACCAGTAAAGGGAATTACTTTGCCTAGGTGTGCAGAGCAATGTAACAGCTTTTAATGGATCAGTTAAGGTATTTTAAGATTGATACATATGTACATATTTTATGTAGGACATATTTTACTGTGTTGATTGATTCCAAAGAATAGAATTCTTTCTTTCTAAAGATAAACAAATCTATGCATACAAAATATATTACATAGTATATTTACAATACATGAGTTTGAAAAATCCAAAGTTTGTAAGAAAATAAAAAAAATGCCACCTACAGGAGACAATAGTGTAGTCACATTCAAACTTCATTTTTAAGTCTATTTAAAAGCTAGAAATACAGAATTCATGACCTGCTGCTTTAAAAAAAAAAAAGCTGTCTAGTACAGATTTCATTACTTTTGCCTAAAAATTAGTATTCAAAGAATAGCTGGCAGCTATTAATTTTCATTTTTTCAGTTCGGCAGCTGGTTGAAGGACACTCTCTGTTCTACAGTGACTCACTATGATACAATGGATAAATTTTCAGGTAAATAAAGCCTTAAAAACTTATTCCTTATTTAATAAGAAACACATTAAGCACTTTGTATTATAACAAAAAAGTAAACTTCTAACACACACATGCTAAGATTCTTAACTATAGTTCTTTTGGATAAGAGATTTAGCATAAAGGATACACTCAGACTCAAACCAACTAATTTCATTAACTGTTATTAACAAATTAGGTCCTTCACTGACCCTGGCCGTGTTAGGGAATACAAAAGCCGAATTTCAATAAATAAATGAATAAATAAAAGTAATCCATTGACCTATTTCTCCCCAACCTTGAATTGCATTTGTGATATTCAGTTAACATAGGACTCAGGAATTTCTGAACTGTAACTCACATGCATACTGTAACAGTGAGAAGTGAGATTTTGAACCTCTGTCCCACAAGGTCTTACTCAAGACCTGAAGTCACAGTTCAAAGAAAGCTTACTTAAAGAAATAAAATCTTTAAGACAGCAAGAATAAAGAAATTTGATCTGCCTTTTCTTCATAAATCACCACACTAAGTGTCAGTAACTTCCTAGAACAGCTGATGACACACCAGGAGTCCTGCTAAGGTGTATGAAGGCAGTCTGATTGATTTACTTAGTAGTCATGTTAAAAGAAAAAAAAAAAAAGTTCAGAGGAACTTATGTTGAGGAGTAAAAGATCTCCAGTGATATTCTGCAGTCTAAATGCAATAGTGCAGTTAGTGCCTCAACATCAGTTCCACTCATTCCTGAAACAAGGAATATCAGGTGACTTTTTTTTTTTAAACATGTCTGTGTTTTAACAGAATGGTTCTTTGGGTTTTCTCTCTTACCTTATTAACCCATGTCTCAAACTCAATGCTTTGTGAATTTGGTGATGTAGTAAGGAACAAATCTATAAGGAAAAACATAAGAGAAATAAAATACTTAACATGAGACTACACACACAAACATCTGCTCTCTCAAAGATATAAAACTTCTTTAAAAATATATTACCTATATTTTACAAGTTGTATTCCACTGATGCTTACATGTATACATATCAAGCAAGAAAGATTAAAAAACCAAAAACCTCAGGAATTTCTGAACTGTAACTCACATGCATACTGTAACAGTGAGAAGTGAGATTTTGAACCTCTGTCCCACAAGGTCTTACTCAAGACCTGAAGTCACAGTTCAAAGAAAGCTTACTTAAAGAAATAAAATCTTTAAGACAGCAAGAATAAAGAAATTTGATCTGCCTTTTCTTCATAAATCACCACACTAAGTGTCAGTAACTTCCTAGAACAGCTGATGACACACCAGGAGTCCTGCTAAGGTGTATGAAGGCAGTCTGATTGATTTACTTAGTATTCATGTTAAAAGAAAAAAAAAAAAAAGTTCAGAGGAACTTATGTTGAGGAGTAAAAGATCTCCAGTGATATTCTGCAGTCTAAATGCAATAGTGCAGTTAGTGCCTCAACATCAGTTCCACTCATTCCTGAAACAAGGAATATCAGGTGACTTTTTTTTTTTAAACATGTCTGTGTTTTAACAGAATGGTTCTTTGGGTTTTCTCTCTTACCTTATTAACCCATGTCTCAAACTCAATGCTTTGTGAATTTGGTGATGTAGTAAGGAACAAATCTATAAGGAAAAACATAAGAGAAATAAAATACTTAACATGAGACTACACACACAAACATCTGCTCTCTCAAAGATATAAAACTTCTTTAAAAATATATTACCTATATTTTACAAGTTGTATTCCACTGATGCTTACATGTATACATATCAAGCAAGAAAGATTAAAAAACCAAAAACCTCCCAAACATCCCTCATACTCTTCTGTATAAATACCTTCTGCAATCAACTTCTGCATTCATATAGTTTATACATAAATTAAGTTAGCCTCACATGAGCTAGTAAGTGCTGGATGTTGTATATGCACACTGAAGAACATTTCTTAATAGTAAAGTGAGAGACAGACCTTACAGCTAGAAAAAAGTACACCTAGCTATATTGTTAGCAAGTCAAAATTAAAAATAAAAACCTACCAACCATTCTTTTATTTTGGATATGTTGAATTAAGCAACAGATATACCCTTGACAGGAGTAGAAAAGGAGATGGGAGAAATATTTCAGGCTTCCTTTACACTGAAATTCTCTTAAACATCAAAACAGTGAGAAAGGGTGCTTCAGAGGATTTATCTGACAATGCCTACTTAAAGAGGAGCTTATTCATTGCCTTTCAGGAAAGCACCCAAATTAGGAAAATGGGAAGAAAAAGCTTTATAAAGGAGGTTGAAAAAAAAAAAAAGTGGAGGGAAGAGGGTAAGGGAAAAAAAAAAAATGAATTCCAGATTTTAAGCAGACTACTCTTAGATTTAAGCACTTTAAGTTCTTTTTCATTGTCCTCCTTCTCCCCCTGCCCCCCACCAATTTAAAGTATCACTGTTTGAGTGAGAACAACAGTTACTTTGTAGGCAGTAAAAAAGTGATTATATAAAAAAGAGATAATATTACTGCTTTACCCTGAGGTGGTTTACTGAATAAGCAGGTGGACTGCTGTACAGGGAATTTCAAATGGCACAATAAGGAGTATTGTCTTCCCAAGGGAAAAAAAAAAACCAACCCACAAACCAAACCAACCATAAACCCCAAACCAACCAAACAAAAACCAAAATGAAACAAACCACCCCCCACAAAAACCAATAAAGATTTTGCTAATAGATTTCTCCCTGCCCTCCCCAGCTTAGAAATTGTACCATTTAATTTTATTTCCCTGAATACCTGAAATGGTAATTTCCTTTAGAGCATATACATTAAAAACATGATAATGTGCTTCATTGGAATAACTAATACTGATACTTAAGTATTTCTTGAAGGCAAGAGACACAAGTAATGGAAACAATCTGAAGATATCATAGATGTAACTTAGAAAACACATAAACTTTCAAATTTTAACTTTGTATGTAGAAGGAAGTTTGTGCAATATTGTTGATTACTATCAGACATAAACCAGAAGAATATTAAAAAAATCTAATACATCGACAGGGAAAAAGAGAGAAACATGGAACAACAGAAGCCTTAACTCACTTTCCTACAGGCCAGAATGCCACTAAATCTTTGAAAAGAGTTTTTGAGGTTCAAATAAGTATTTCAAAGTAAGGTTGTAGCATATCCATGATGCAATTTGTACTGCATTTTGCAACTAGTTATGGAGTATGTCATATACAGATTATGCCACAAAAGGCTCCTTATGTGTTGTACTTAAATACACAGCAAACGACTAGCATTTGATTAGCAAATACAACAGGTTGCCTAACCTTCAGCAGACATTTTGTTGGCACTACGACTGTTTTCTCTGACTCAGTTTCACACGCTGCAGAGCTCTCACCTTTAATTGCCAAGTCAATCCTCCCTGTGCCCAATCCTCTATGCAAGGAGAGATCTTGGGGAGCATTAACTCAACATTCCCACTGGTAATGTTATGTTTATACATGTTTTGTGACCCTATCCCAGAATTACTCAAAATAACATAGCTGCCAACGCAAGACATAATTCACCCAGTGTTACTATGCTACAGATTCAGCTCTGAACAGTTGGTCATTACTACGTTAACTAAATGCATCAAGTTTTTATACAACTCAGTTATGCTTTGAGGGAGGAAAAAACAAAGACAAAAGGCAGATATGAGTTATGCTGGGGGGTCTTACAAAGTCCTTAGCTCTAAATCATTCATTTAAGGTTAAAACAAAGTTCATTAAAAAAATAGAAACAGTAAACCAGACTATTTCTTGACTAATTCAACAGGTGATGGAGTTTCATTTAACAATTATTCTTCACTTGAAAGCCTATACTAATGCAGCATACTATGATAACGTCTCAGAAAAACAAAACAAAACTCTCTTCTTCAATGGGAAAATGCAGTACCACCTATAGTATCCTTACAGTAGAGCATTTTTAATATAGAGAAATTCATGTCCTTAACTTAACAGGAGGTCATATAAGCACTACTATGAACTGAACTATAAGTAGTAATATGCCTTGTTTTCATTCGAGCTTTACAGAGTAAATGTATTAGTTACAGCTCCTCAGAGAGCATAAAGGGCACGTTTGACTCAAAAGACATTCCATATTGTTCATCCCAGTTACAACAGGCCACGAAGTCAGACGCTCAACGTCACTGGGCAACAACAACAGCAAAGTAAACTGCAAAGTATCCTAGCCCTAATTTTGAGACACAGCCATTACAAACTCGCTCAAGTATTACCGAATTACTTGTAACAGAGTAAGTATGGTTACTGGATATTATACGAATACACCTATTTTGTAAAAGCACATTGGAGAGATTTACAATGGATTTTTCTTATGCATTGAAAAAATCTATTTTTTTTCCATTCTTAATCCGATGCATATTAGTTGTTTTTCTCTCATTTAATCTGATTTCATAAGTGTATAGAAATATTCAGAAACATGACTGCACAGGGAATTGAAATAACATAGGAAGGCAAGGAACAACAGGCATATAAAATCCCAGATGTTAGGACCAGAATCAAAAGTAGCCTTAAAATAAACATTAAACTCCGTGAGAAAAAAAAAAAAAAGGGATAAGAGTGGCTGGGATGTCACACAACTTAATAAAATCAAAGAATACATTTAGCTCTCTGCAGTGTGGGAGGAATAAATTAGGATACTAAATGCAAGTGAAACTACAAAGACCTAATAGAAATACAATAATTTAAAACATCTAAAATGTTTACTATGTTAAAAACGTGGAGGTGCTTACAGACTTAAAGTCTTTGTTCAGCTGCTGTACAAACCAGGTTATTTTAATGTGAACACTCATTCCACATTTTGAGAGCAGAAAAATAGAGCTATGTTTTCAGAGGAGGCAATCTACCATACATCTCTTCGGTTTGGGAGATCAGTGCTGACTACGGCCCTCTACAGTAGCTTAAAGATGATTAAACTCAGTGACGTGCCAGTTTTGCACTGAACTCCCTCCCACTCCCAAAACAGCTTCTCTTGAAAGCTAGTAAATTACTTTTGCCCTTTATTCCTCTTCTCGTACTCCTCCGTCTCTCCTTTTTCCTAACTTGAGGCATATAACATTATATACAACGAATGGAACCTACACACCAAGGCAGCTCCAAGGCTGCTGTAATATTACACTGTAATGGTAAAATGCAAAGGGGCAAGCAAAGATAGCAGATAATCTTCCAGAAATAGTAGAGGAGCTAGTGCCACACTGCTCCTAAGTTAAAGCAATGAGCTGTAATTTCCCATAGGACA